TGGCACTGACTCAGCCTTCCATGTGCTTGCTGCTAAGCCAGCCCATACTGCTCTAGCACCCGTAGCAATGCCTGTGCGTGAAACCAACCCTTGGGCCCATGCCCCTGATGCTGCTAACAAGGAAATTGCAGCCACACGTTCGGGTAAGGTGGCCACAGATGGTGGTGAGGATTCTGGGATCAGATAAGTAACCCTGGTTCCAAAATCAGCCGTTTACCTGAGTGGGAACCAGGGAGGAGTCCTTTTTGGAAAAGTATGTTCCCTCCTGGAAATAAACTGCTATTAAGAAGGGATAGTGAAGGAGAGGAACTAAAAGGTTAGATTGATAGTTCTTAGGAATATAGAACAGAAGCACCCATAGAGCTTTCATAAAGTACAGATTCCTGGACCCTACCCCGAGAGAGTCTATCACTGGATTTGGAGATATATGGATATGCCTATAGGAAGAGGGGACCCTGCCTCCTACAATGGCAGGCCTACGAAAAGGGCTACAAAAAGCACTTTATTTTTGCTCTTCTGTACTTTCTAGTTTTTCTATAATGAACATTTATTAACTATAAAACCAAAAAATTTTAAGTAGTAATAAAGGCAGTTCACCAGAAAGATAACAGGTGTCTAGAAGCCAGGCAGGAGCCAGAAGTTATGGCACAGTTATGGCACCAAGTCACTGATTATTTGCTTTTAGTTCTGCCACAGCAGAAGGTGAATCACCTCAAGCCCTTTAGAGCATGTGTAAGCTGGTTTCTCTACCATGGATGAGCCACAGCAATAGGGAAGGGTTTCTGATGCCAGCCAGCTGCCCTGGTTCAATGCACTTGAGCCGTATCTAGACAGCTCTTCAACGTGGCTAAGACAGCAGCAGCATGGTCTAACAGATTTTCTTTGTCCTTCTATACAACCTCCTCAGGTGTTAATAGAGACTCCCCTCCCACCTAGCAAAACCACAAAATGTCCCATTAGGGGGACTTGTTCCACATATTAGGATCATTCAAATAACCAGGGTTATCAGGTGACTAAAGAAGCCCCTAATGACTGATTTTTTTTCCTCTTCATTTTGTTGATTCCAGGGACTGAGTGGGGTCAATCTTCTGGTGCTGCCTCTCCAGGTCCCTTCCAGGCTGGTCATAGACGAACTCCCTCTGAGGCCGACCGCTGGTTAGAGGAAGTATCCAAGAGCGTCCGAGCTCAGCAGACCCAGGCCTCAGCTGCTCCTCTGCAGCCAGTTCTCCAGCCGCCTCCACCCACAGCCGTCTCCCAGCCAGCGCCACCTTTCCAAGGGAATGCATTCCTCACCTCTCAGCCTGTGCCAGTGGGTGTGGTCCCACCCCTGCAGCCAGCCTTTGTCCCTGCCCAGTCCTATCCTGTGGCCAATGGGATGCCCTATCCAGCCCCAAATGTGCCTGTGGTGGGCATCACTCCCTCCCAGATGGTAGCCAACGTGTTTGGCACTGCAGGCCACCCTCAGGCTGCCCAACCCCATCCGTCTCCCAGCCTGGTCAAGCAACAGACATTCCCTCAGTATGAAACAAGCAGTGCTACTGCCAGTCCCTTCTTTAAGCCTCCTGCTCAGCACCTCAACGGTTCTGCCGCTTTCAATGGTGTAGATGATGGCAGGTTGGCTTCAGGAGACAAGCACACAGAGGTTCCTGCAGGCACCTGCCTGGTGGATCCTTTCGAAGCCCAGTGGGCTGCATTAGAAAGCAAGTCCAAGCAGCGTACTAACCCCTCCCCCACCAACCCTTTCTCCAGTGACTTACAGAAGACGTTTGAAATTGAACTTTAAGCAGTCCCTATGGCTTATGCATTTTGTCCATACTTAGGCAGGGGTGGGGGGGAGGTCAAAGGAGCAAAGGGGACTTTGTGTTCCCCATCAGTATACTTTTCACTAAGCCCAAAGGTCCCCAAGAAGCAAGTCCAGGCACAGAGTGCAGTGAGGGGTGATTTTGAAAAAAGTGGAAAAAAACCATTCCTAGAGAAGAGCTGTCTTGCGGTTAGGCTAAAGAAGTCAAGGAAATGTTGCCCTCTGTTCCTCTCCTCCTCCTCAGCCCTTACAAATCTCTGGCAACAGAGAGGCAGACATATCTGAACTAGAATCTGTATTCAAAGCACATTTCCTGGAATATAAAACAACGGGAAGCAAAACGATCTCCTTTGTGTTTCAGGCCATTCACCTGCCTCCTCTTAGTGCTGGCCTGTCTTAAAGATCAAGAACAGGGTGGCCTATGCTTGGGCTGGGGTCAAGAAGCATGCTGTGCTGCCAGAATTCCCAGGAGGGCACATTGGCAGCTGCCCAGCAGAGCTATATTTTAGGGGTAAAGTTGAGCTTCCATTTTGAGTAAGAATATTATAAATATATATCAAAAAAGCCAAAATCTTTATTTTTATGCATTTAGAATATTTTAAATAGTTCTCAATATTAAAAAGTTGTATGAGTTGTAAGTAATCTTGCCAAAGGTAAAAGGGTTAGCTGTAAGAAATTGTACATAAGATTGCTTTATCATCGATGCCTATTGAAGTAAAAAAGAGGAAAGGTTGGAAGTTGCAGACAGGATCCCTAGCTTATTTGATATCATTGTAAGTAGCACATTGCAACAACAATCATGCTTATGACCAATATAGTCACTAGGTTGTAGTTTTAAATAAAGAAAATGAAAGAGCAGTATTGTCCTGGTTTTAAACCTATGATGAAATTCTAATGTCATTATTTTAATGGAATCAATCTAAATATGCTCTACAGAGAATATGTACTTTTTTATATATTGCTGTTTCCTTATGTTAATCCTTTGTTGTAACACTAAGGGACAATGACATAATCATATCCATAGACGGCAATGCAGGTTACTGGGTTGGTTTGTCATGTGGGTCTTGGTGGGTTTTGTTTTGTCCTTTAAGTTTTGTTCCCATGAGTTTTGTGGGGATGGAAATTCTGGTTTTATTAGCTATGTGTGTGTGTGTGTCTGTGTGTCCTTCCCCTCCCCGTGGTGAGCAGAACATCCCATTGCCAGTTGCAGCCACTGGACCTCTGGTAACAATGTGAGATCCCATCTCATTTTTACTTTTGAAAGTTGGCCTTATAATCAAATGTAAGTTATATATATTTGTACTGATGAGAATTTATAATCTGCTTTAACAAAAATAAATGTTCATGGTAGAAGCTTTTGCCCATGAAGGGCTGTTCTTTCCCCTTTATTAGCAAATGGGTTTTAGTTCTTGTTCTCTCTCCATTCTACTGCTGCTGCAAATCTCATTTGGTGGCTAGAAAATCTTTTATTGGGACTGATTGATGATATATTCTTAAAATTCATATTGGTATTCATACTTTAGGCTTTGGTTGATCCTAAGCACATCTCTAACGTCAGAGTCCTGTTGCCCAAAGTGTGGTCTGGAACAGCAGCATGGACTTCACCTAGGAGCTGGTTCAAGATGCAGAATCTCAGCCCCACTCCAGACCTCGCAGTCAGAATCACCTGCATTTCACCACTGTTCACATTCTGAGAAGTCTGGGGCTGGAGCGGTGATTCTCAACTTTGGATACATATTAGAATTACCGGGGGAGCTTTTAAAATCTTCATGCCCGGCCCATCCTCCAGACCTGTTAAATCAAAATCGCTGGGGAGTGGAACTCCAGGTTGTTTAAAAAGCTCCCAATATAGAAAAGGGTTGAGAACCACTGGTCTAGATTGAGTTTTATTCTCAGCCTCTAACCTTTACCCACTATACTGTGACTAGTTCTAAGAGCTAACCTCTAACCAACTTACTTTCTGAAGCGTGTTGCCAATTAGCCAAATACTGGTTTAATTAAAGAGCTGGGGAGTCCAAGAAAGGGGCCCTTATTTTCCAATTTCTATAGCAAAACCAGCCGTAGTAAATGAAAGGGAATGTTCTTCAATATTTTTTAAATGGAAAGAAAAAAGACCTCTGCTCCTGGCCCATGTTTCCTTTGTCGAATGAGAGGTAGACCAAGAAGTCATTCACCCTTGATGCAGTTTTGTCTCTTCCAGCCAGTGTGTTGGTAATAAAAGTCACCTTTGAGAGCTTTAGTCCCTGTAATGCCTATCTTTCCTTTGTCCAAGAATAACCTCTGTTACTAGGCCCAGCCGGCCCTCTGGAGGATTTCTAGAAGGTTCACACAGAAAGGGACTCGGAAGCTCATTGAATCCAGGCCTCTTGTTTTACAGTGAGGAGTTAGAGGTTCTGAGAGATCATGAATGACTTCCTCCAACACAAACCATTTCTGAAATCACTTTCCTGTTATTACATTGCCCTCCCCACCACTGGTCCCCCCATCCTGCTGATGCTGTTTTTAATAACAGTCTGGTTTTTATCTGGCAGCAAACATTTTGCTTCACAGATTCCTACTTGAGGAGAAGCTCCTCGTTGGTCACTGTACAAAGCAGGCCCATCAGCTCGATACAGGTGTGAGACGATCCTCACAGCCAGGCTCTGCATGTCGGCCTCAGGTGGAGGGCTTCGGGCTGCAGCTTCCTGATGACAGTAAGGAGCTTTTCCAGTTCTTTCATGTGCAGATACTAATACAACTGCTGCTCTTTCACCCCAAGTCCCTATACTGAGCCTTACATTATATTCCACTTTGCCGAGAGCTTTCACAAACATTATGCTGTTAACAGTATACACAAATGGGATTTGAAGCTGAATGCTATACTACCTAGAAGGGCGAGAGAGACTAGAGCAATGGACCACGGTTTGCTAGAACTAGATCATCTGGCGTCAAAGAATACTTCCCTGACACAGCAGGAGCTGGTATTCCCCTGGGAGATAGGTCTTAACTTTGAAATCATTACACATTTCCCTACTCAGCTTTAAATGAAGTGAGAACCCTGGTAGCTTGCTTTAAAACGCAGTGAACTGAGCCTGTGTAACAGAAATTATAGAGGGAAGTTATAAAGTAAAGGGTGTCCTTACCCAGAGTCCTCTTCTTGACAACTCAGCAGACACTGCTGGGGACTACAGGGGAAGGGTGGTACTGACTGCTGCTGTGGCTAAACATGGTGGGATTTGGGGTGTGGGTGGGGGGTGGGAGGGAAACGGCTATTGTCTCCAGAAGATAACTCCCTTTGCCAGCCAGAGAGGGGAGACCAAGAGTCTGTCTTCTCTTCTTCCCAGCCCTACGAGTTGTTTCAGAATTGGGGCTGGAGCTAGCCTTCATCCTTGCTGCCAGATGGGCTGAGCATGAGGCTGGAATCGGGAACAGCTGGCACAGCAGAAGCTGGAGTAATACTCATTGCCACAGAGCTGGGCCTGCAGGATCAAATCACAGTTGGCCAGCTCCGGCTGGTCGATGCACTCCTTGCTGGGGTCCCTCGTCTGGGCGGCCAGTGCTGCAAAACAACAGGGAGAGACAAAGTGGTAAGGAAGCTCTGTGTATGCTGAAAATGCTCACCTACCATTTCATTTCCTTAAAGGGAAAGCAGCACTATAACTGCCAGATTCTAATACAAGTGCAGCTACTCCATAACCTTTTAACACCTGTGTGTACAACTACATGAGGGATCACAGTGTCCACCCATTGTTGGCCTCACTTTAGCGTGCAGTGGTCCTTCTGTTCTTCTGCAGCTGCAGCCCTGGGCATAGCCCATCGCAGACTCCCAAATATTGACTGGACGATTAAACATCTCTTAAAGTTAACTCCCTACCCTTCCTATGGAGACCTGAAGAGCTGAATGTCAACTGCCTTGGTCTCTGGATTGGGAAGAAGAGAGTTGGATTAGCCCTAAGTAAAATTTTGAGTTGGCAGGAGCTGTCTTGTCTTCTCTCTCTCACTGCTGGTTTCCTCCAACCTCAAAAGTTTTGTGCCTTCAATAACCCCAGCTTATCTTAGTCACTTAGTTCCCCATCTTTCCAACTTTTCCACTTTCCCCAGAAAAAGCAATGAGTATTAAGCAAGGTGATAGGAAAACAGCCTTGTGAACTATGGCTCTAATACTATACTGACCAGAAAGCATTGGGTGCCCCCCCACCCACATTGAATTTACTAGGAGCTTCTGTGTCTCATAAATCCCTGTGTTTCATTCTGCTGCTTCATCTTAGAATTGAAGTGGCCTCATCCACTTAACTTACCTATTCTTTCAGGAAGGGGCTTTTATGACTCAGCTTGGCATAGGCCTGAGTAGCACCTTCCCTAACGTCAGACGTTGTGGGGCCAGGGAAAGCTCATCTTCATCCTCTCTCCCTGCGCTTCCTCCCAGACTACCTCTAAAACACCATACCTAACCAGTGAATGACTTTATAAAGGTTTGGTGTATCAATATAACAAGAGTACTAACTTCCCACATTTATATAAATAGCAAGCCATTTATGCCTATTGTTTAAAGATATCAGTAATTTGGTATCAACTTTATCTCAGCTGTTGCAGCCCTGGGCCTATCCCAGGGCCCAGAGTTAGGAGGTGCTCAGCATTGGGTTAAGCACACCAGATCTGGAGCCAGACTGCCTGGGTGCGATCCTGGGTCTCCCACTTACCAGCTGGGTGACTTTGGACAAGTTATTTAAGCTCTCTTTGCCTCTGTTTCCCCATCTGAAGTGGAGATCATAATAGCACCTTGGGCACCTAGTAACCATGGCTAAAATTTGAGTGCTTAACAGTGCTTTTTTGCCCCATAGCCTCTTCCCCTCATTTGAAAAATGAGACTGCGCCGTAGTGAGTGACCCCCTATATTTTATCCCTACAGTGTTTTCTGTTTCTCACCCCAGTCTTTTAGGCAAAAAGGTTGAGAAGTCCTCACAGTAGAAGTATGGCCCTTACAGCAGAGTGTGAGTAGCCTTCAGTACGTCACCAAACCATGAATAGGGCTAAGTGTGGCAACCTCAAGCAGTGAGACCCTACAAGTAGGACAAATAGGTGAGAGCAGATATCTGCAGCCTAATCAATGGAATACAGCTAAAGAGAAGAGGGAGACAGCTTCTAGTCAAGAAAGGTGCCCCCAAAATATCTAAGGTTGGCAACACTCATCCAGCAGAGCGCAGGAGAGAGGTAGCCTGACTGAGGCCATAAGTGTCCCGTCCAGGAGGAAGTCACGTCACATGATTTCAGCTTGGCCGACAACACATCATCAGGAGCCTCACCAGACTTTGTCATCAAGCAAGTTTCAGATTATAATTTGGTTTCCCACGTGGACATGTCTATAGCTACTCATACATGATCATCTGGGTCCTCCTAACAGCTCCCTTTCTTAGTAAATCTGCATTCTGGTTTGTCTCTAGTCTTGTACGTTTGATTAGTATGTAGACAAGAGATCAATTTGCTGGACATGATAGAGGTGAAGAGTAGCCCCTGTGGTATGGTGCTTTTGCTGGAGTAATGCCTTCATGCATGTGAGCACCTAGTGATGCCATGCACTGGGCTGGGCCCTGGGGACACAAGTCCTAGTCACTGTCCTAAGGAGCTCACAGACTGGAAGCCTACGTGTCAGTCCAACTCACTAAGAACATTTCTACCAGACACCCTTCAACCTCTAGCACTGGCCGGCCACCCTCCTCAGTCTGGCACACAGGAGGCAGCCAGGCCTGACCCCCTGAGTATAACAGTGCTCCTGGTGCAGTGCTGCAGCCCTGACAGTCGTGTCCGTCCAGGCAGACCAGCACAGGGAGGGCCTTGTAAGGGAAGAGGCACACTCTTCCCCAGGTCTGTATCAGGCCCCAAGAGAACCAGCTACTCGGCCCAGGGCACCACCCTGCCATTCAGACAGTCAGCTCCCCCTTCCCCTTCCCCTCTGGCTTATTTGAACATAGAGTTCGTATGAGTTTGAACATTAAACTACAGTCTATTTCATCAACTCTGAGATGTACTTATTTTCACATTTTAACACCTCTGTTGGACTGCATCTTAATTGATGGTGTCTTAGCATTGTGTCATTTAATTGATAGCATTTTTTCTTAGTAGTATGAAAATTACACATCTTACAATATGGTATTTAGATTGTTTGAAATATAAGTCAAAGAGCAAGAGCTAGAGAATATAAGGCTAAAATATCAAATTATTGAAGAATGCAGGTCAAGTTCTGCCTGCATTACTACTATTACAGGTAGTTTATGAAAAGAACATTAAATATAAGGAGTCAGAAGACCTGGGTTCTAGTCCCAACTTGGCCACTAATTTGCTGTGTGACTCACAGAAACATCACTTAAGCTCTGGATATCTGTCTCATTTGTAAGATGGTAATAATAATCCCATCACATATGGTCAAATGGCCGAAAAGGCACTTTTCAATCATAGAACCACTCTTTGCCACCCTGATTAAAATGGACAGATTTTAATGTTCTGTCTGCCTTAAGTATTATAATGAAATTCCAATCAATCATATTTCTCAAAACAAAATCAGTAAGTCTAAATAACAATACGTATTTATTAAGCCATTAACCAGGTGCCCAGCAGACGCATTATTTCCTTCATCTTCACTACAACACTATCAGGCAGTGGAATGGCCCACTGTACAGATGAGGAGAGTGAGGCTCAGGAAGGTTAAGCCTCTGGTCCCAAGTCACACTACCAGTAACTGGCAGAGTGAGCCAAGATTTGGACGAGAGTCCCTCGGACTGCAGAGCCCACTCTCTCCCACGTTCCGCAGCACACAGGCAGCCCTCAAGAACAAGCAAATGCCTGGGGTAGGCCTCTCTTACCTGGCAGGACCACCTTCACCTCAGTGCTGCGGCTGACTGCCTGGCTTCCACGGTAGGCGCTGCACGTGTAGGAGCCCTCATCCCTGGCCCGCAGGTTGTGGATCAGCAGTGTGCCATCGGGGGACTGGTGGACACGGTGGCCATCAGCCCGTACTGGCAGCCCGTTCCTGGAGGGGAGAGGACACTGGGAGAGCTGTCCAGGGCCCCAGGGCCAGGAGACAGAGGAAGGAGATAATCAAAGACCATTCCAACTACTCCCTCTTTGTGGACAAATGACCCTCACTTCAAGAAAGAGATGGGACAGAGTACCAAAAAGATAGAACATTAACAAAGCAAAATAACTCAAAAGTGAGGTGAACTTACACCATCTGAGCACACTGATCTAAGTTATTGTAAACTTGCCTCTTAGCCACAAAGGAACCCCACTTGCACCTTTCATTAACAAAGGTCTTTTAAGCAGCCGTGAGGTGTCAGGCCCTGTGCTGGGTGAAGGACATAAGCACAGCCTGCCTCCAGGGCACGGGGGTGGGGGTGCTGGTGTTTAGGGGAGACTTCTCTGACCTGAGGAGGAGGAGGCAGCCGCTGGCCAACAGAGAGGGAGAATAGGGGGACTCAGGAGCTGGAAGGAAGGCCATGGCCGGAGCAAGGAGAGTGAGAGAGGAAGGAAGAGTACACGGCTCTGGTCAGGAGTTTGGACTGGCTGCTGGGGTAATGGAGGGGTGTAAGCTGAGAAGGGACTGACACAACATTTGCACTTTGACAGGATGGCAGCCTGCAGTGGGGGAGTGGGGGTGACAAGCCTGAAAGCAGAGACCAGGTACGTGGCTGCTGCAGTAGTGCACGCCTGGTAGATGACACAGGCAGTAAAATAAAGGGACTTGGGTGAGGGTCAGATGTGGGAGGTGGAGAGAAGAAGAAATCAAGGATGACAGAGGGTTCTAGCTTGGGTAATGGTGGTGCCCCTCCAACATGGTGAGATCCAGGGCAGGGACGAGGGTAAAGGGTGAGGGTATTTTCCACCATTTTGAATTTGGGGTGCCTGTGAGATTCCAGGAGGTGTCACATTTGAGGTCTGGACCCAGAGAGTATCAGCACTGGATGGTCCCGGGAACTGCGTATCTGCAAGATTGCCCAAGGTGAAGTTAGAGAGAGACAAACCAAGATCCAAGGACAGACCTTGAGGTACACTGGCCTCTAAGGGATGCGTACGAGAAGAAGAGCCAGCCAGGAAAACGGAAGCAGCAGCCAGAGAAGCAGGAAGAACACCAAAGACAGTAGTTTCCTGGAACCAAGGGAAGGGAGTATTTCAGGAGGAGCAAGTGGTCAGCGGGAGAAGACTGCAGGTCATGTGAGGACTGACATGTGTCTGGAGGATTTAGAGACAGGGAGGCAGTTGGTGGCCTTGGCCAGGGCTGTATCCCTGGAGTGGAAGGTGAGTGTGAGGCCCCAGTTCAAGGGCTGAGCCGTGAGGGAACAGGTGGAAACAACCAGTATACGCAGCTGTGCTGTGAAGGGGAGCCTGATGGAAGGCCAGGGTCTGCAGTGAAATACAGCCTCAGAGAAGGGTATTTTTTATGTTGGTTTTGTTTTAAAGAGAGGAGTCCTGAGCATGTTTGCTGCTGGGAAGATCCAGGAGAGGCCAAGTTGAAAATACAGGCCTGATAGGATAATCAGAGCCAGGACCTGCTCAGGGCAGGCTGGACCGAGAGCACCAGCTGAAAAGCCTCCAGGGGCTCCCCTCTGCCTTCCCCTGGCATCAAGGCCACAGAAGAGGCAGCCCACCTCTACGTGCCTATCACCTCTCCCCTCCAGTGTGCAGGCCCCTTCCCTTCCTGGCATCAACTCTCAAATACCTTTGAGGCTCAACCAAGAACATCTTTTCCTCTCAGCCTTCAAGGCCCAGCCAAAGTCACCTCCATGGCCACCCCTTCCTTGATTCTCCCAGACAAGAGGCAGCCTCACTCCTCTGTGTACAGACAGCACTTAGGGCAAACCTCGTTTGGAGCTCATAGGACCCTGGGCTATCTGCCTGGGAGTATCCTGGGGGCTCAGATGACCCCAGGATTCCCAGAGCCCAGCCTAGTCCTACCCATTGCAAGGAGGAAGCGGGCAAAAAAATGTTTGATGAATGAACAAAAGGCCAACTGATCTAAGGTAAAAGACCACTGAGGTCCCCAAAACTGAGTGTAGCCCAATGGTTCTCAACCCCAAGAGAGATTTTGCCACCCAGGGGATATTTGGCAATGTCTGGAGACATTTTCTATTGTCATGACTTGGGAGAGAGTACTACTGGCATCTAGTGGGTAGATGGCCTAAATGCTGCTAAACATTCTACAACGCACAGTACAACCCCAAAGATATTGGGTCCAACATGTCAATAGTGCTGCGGTTGAGAAGCCCTGGTGTAGCCCAACCAACAGAAGAAACAGGAGTCCTATGGGGCTTCACTGTGTGGGATGAGGGTGCTGCAGCCCCCTCCATGGCACCAGGCCTAGAGGCAGGAGTAGAAGAATGAGGGGTGGGGGCAGTGCTGACAGCAACATGCCTGCAGAAAGGTGGACCACCTCTGGGGCTGTACAACCTCAGGTATGAGGGTTTGAGGACCAGGCCTGCCTGGAATAGAGCCTTACCTGGACCATCTGATGTTCACACTTTCTCCTGCCACCACACACAGCAGCCTGGCTGTGTCACCCTCTGTCACTGTCACAGTAGAGGGCAGCCCGGTGATTGTCAGCTCCCCTGGGCCCAAGGACGAGGCACTGTCAGCCACGACACAGATCCTGCCCCACCTGCCATCTGACCTCAAAGGCCATTGGCCCCACTCACCCTTCCACTCAGGACTGCCACCTTACCCAGAACTCTGAGCTTGACCCATCGCTGGTCTCGGTCCTGCCCATTGAAAGCAACACAGGCATAGAAGCCACCATCTTCCACAGCCACGTGGCTGATGACCAGAGAGCCATCGGGCTGCAGCTGGTGTCTAGGGACCAAGCATAGTCAGTTGGCTCCAGCCCTAGGGGGCCGGCGAGGGGCAGGGATGGGCAGGGTCTTCCTTTCCCCCGGGAAAGGCTGTCCAGTGGGGTCTGGCCAAAGGCTGGTCTGCCTTAGGCCCTGAGGTCCTCCACCTGCCAATACTCTCATTCAATTGAAAATGCCTGGCTTTTAAGCCTGGCAATAAAATCATTTCAATTTTTGTAATACAAGATAATTCTGGTTTAGGTTTCTAATTTTTGCCATATACTCATTTAGTGGGCTCAAATCCTGGTTCTGCCACTTAGGAGCTGTGTGGTGGTAAGCTTCTGTGTGTAAAATGAGGATAAAATAGCACCTACCTCAATGTGGCTCTTTTGCAGATTGTGTGATGGAGAACAAGCCTCATATTCACTGTGAGCTCAATAAATGTTAGCTATTATGATTACAGCCAGAAATGTGTCTGCCTCCATTTCCTCCCTCAGCCGGCCTGTTACTTCTGTCCACTAACTACACTCTGGAAAGGCCCGGAGACCCAAATCTTGGTCTGCCCAAGGAGCCCTGCACCCAGCAGCTCCATCTCAAGAGCTCCTGGAGTCCTGCTCAGGACTGACCGGGAGAGACACCTGGCAGCTCTCTCCCCCAATGGCCTCCACACGCTGGGGTGGGGTGGGAAGAGCTGAACAAACCTGGGAGAAGAGAGGGGCTGCCCATCTCTCTGCCACTCGATGGCTGGTGGGGGGAAGCCCTCAGCACGGCAGGTCAACCGGATCCGCTGGCCTGGATGGGCGTCCACCACCCCAGGCTGGTTCCGGTCCAGACGCAGCCTGCAGAACAAGCATCCCACAGCCATGAGGGAGTCCTTGACGCTGCCTTCCCGGCTCCCATCCGTGCCTGGGGACGACCTCTGCACAAGCCTCAGGTCATGGCCCCTTTCTCCCTCTGCAGCCAGATTCGGCTTCCATAACCGCCCCCCCACCCCACCCCCGCTTGTTCTGGTTAGGACACCATCACAACTACCTGGGGCAAAGTCTAAAAGCCACCTCTGGCTTTCTCACCTACCTTCTACCTCTCTCCATCCCCCCACCCAGTATCTCCAACTGTCTCTTCCCCGCCATGCACGTCTGCCACTAGGTCCTTCACTTGGGCACCCCCAGCCCTGTGCATCCCCCCTGTAAACTGTACCCTTCTTCCAGCCCGTCTCAGGCCCTCTAGCTCCCGGTGTCTTCCCTTCCTTCAGCCTCTGAGTCCTGGGCCCATGGACCTGCACCATTCCCCACTGCGTGGGGTCGGGGGGAGGGCTCCCCTTCCTTCTCAAGAGGCCAAGCTCAGGGAGCCATGTTTTTCTAGTCCTCAGTTTGCAGAGCCCTGAGCAGGGCCAGCAAGCCTGGTCACAGCACACACTGGCATGGGGACACATTCACCTTCCCTCCTTTCACCCACTGAGACCTCCATCGGCCCTGGCCCTTGAGAGGGAGGGGAGGCTGAGAGCAGGATGGCATTGCTGCACTGTTACCTGGTCATGGACCGTGGATGTGAGGAGGAAACAGCCCCCAGGCCCCCAGCTTCCCTCCCTAGGCCAGAGTCCTGAGGACTGTGGCCCTGGGCTGGGTCCCTGGTCTGAGGGAAGTGCCTCGGCTCAGCCTCAGACAGCACGGCCATGTCACCCCCTGTCATGAGGCCAGGAGAAGCAAGAGGTGAGCTGTGGGGAAAAGGGGGTGGAGGGGAGGGTAGGCCATGAGGCCGGCAGCGGACATGTGGAGAAATGAGAGCCACAAGGGTTAAGACAGCCACCCCAGCCCAACTGGAGCATGGTCTCTACCACGAGGATGCCTTGGCCCAAGGAAGCACCCTAGCCCAGGCCCTCCCACCCTGGGGCCCATGGGAACCCATGGGGGTGGGCGGGACAGAGACCTGTGATTTGAAGCTGGATCTTCTGAGAGTCACCACCTGGCCTACTGCTGCCACAGCTGTAGGTGCCAGCATCCTCTGCCCGCAGAGGGCTGATGACCAGGGAGCCATCAGGCTGCAGCTTGTGCCTAAATGACAGGGTAGGGGCTTGAGCTCTGGGCTCCTTAGGCAACAATGAGCGCAGCCCCCAGTGCTCCTGCCAGAGACCATAGCCCCACACTCACCCTCCCATCCCAGGGGAGATCAAAGGGGCTGCCTCAGCGGGAGGATTGTTGCACACCTGTCAGAAGAGATGGGTCCCCCGTCTTTCTGCCACTGGGCCTGGGGGTCCAGGGAGGTGTCATCTGGGCAGAAGAGCCGTACCAACTGCCCCAGGGCTGCCTGCACCAAGGAGGGCTCTGAGCCTGCCAAGCTGATCCTAGAAAGGTGGGAGGTGAGGATCTGCCCTACCGGCAAGTGCCAGGACCAGGGACCACCCCTTCATCAGTGTGCCCACTGGATAGCTTGGTGCCCATCCTGTGGCAGGCACTTGCCTGAGGGTCCCATGGGAGGCCAAGCTCCAGAAGCCCATGGACTCAGGAATCCGCCCTCCCCAACCTCCCCACCATACACCCAGGCTTTGCTACCTCAACCTGCTCCTGCAACAGCAGCAGGGTAGGCACAAAGCCCAGGGCATGGAGAGGCTGGGAGAGGCAGCACACACCAGACTCGTGTGGGAGCTAAACCACATGCCTGGCCTCCCTGGAATTTAAAGTTTTAGCTTGTTTATTTTGTTTTTAATCTTCCCAAATCTCTCATTAATAGGACACAGACCCAAGAGTAATAACGACTGGAACCCACAGCAAACCTATGGGATAATATTACCATTTTACAGATCAAGAAACTGAGGCTTGGAGAAGTTGGGTGACTTGCCAAAGGTCACAAAGCCTATAAACTTTTCCAGCTACACAGGCCCAGGGTATACTGGTGAGATCTGATCGAGAATCCAGGTGCCACCATCTACTGGCCACCTGACCTCAAGTGAGTCTCACGTCTCTGAAGCCTGAGCTTCCCTATCGTAGAATGAAGGTAACAAGGCCCTCCAGACAGGGCTGTTTGGAGGATTCAAGGTAAGGGATGGGGAGGGAGGGCTGGCTGACCTCAAAGTTTTAGTTCCAATAGGCTCAGCCCCTGGGCTGGGTGCCCTATTCTCCTACCTGGGGAAGGTGGGCCTCACCTGTAGGAGGAGCTGTGGGGGGGTTGCACTGGCCGCCCAGCATCTCCACCCAGTCCAGGGGCACTGAGCCCAAGCTCCTGGCCCCAGGGCCGTTCTCCAAAGGCCTGGGTGTGGTGGGCCTCCCCCCGACCAGGCTCTTGGTCTCGCCACCAGAGGCCACCAGAAGGCAAGGGCTTTCTCTGGACTGTGGCCCCCGTCCTTTGCTGGCTAGCCTCCTGCCGGCGTCCAGGACTGCTGCCGCCACCATCTCTGTGGGTGCTCTGGCCAGAGGCCCCAGGCTCGAGTCGGCGAGGCCCAAGTTGCGGCGTCCGGCAGCTGCTCATGCACTCCTCCTCCGAGGCAAAGTTATTGGCATTGCCGTGGCAGCCACCATACCAGAAGCGGTTACACTGGCCCACGGAGGCGATGAAGTACCAGCGGGCGGCCCAGTCTGTGCAGGAGCCATGGGCACTGGGCAGCAGGCACTGCACGGGGTATGCTAAGGGGACAGGGAGGATCCATGTCACCAAAGTGCCCAGTAATAAAGCTTCAAATGCTGCCCAATGGAGCCCTGCTGAGAAGCACCCACCATCCCTTCAGCCTCAGAGACTTAGGAGCAAGGCCATTCCCAGTTTATGGAGCATGTCTACACCCCTGCCTGGGCCCCTGACCTGGCCCTGGGGGCAGAATCTGTTCACTGCCCAGACCTGCCCCAGGCGGGGGCCACAGCAGCCTCTGGAATCAGCCCTGTACACCTCCCCCAAGAGAACTAGAGCCCTCCAGGAGGTCAGGGCCAGGAGGTCCCTGGGCTTGCTTCCTCGTGCCCCACCCTCCCCATGGAGTGCATGCACAGAGCAACCCAAAGGCTTGACCTTGACCCAACCCTGAGCTCCTGGGCCTGTGCAGATGCCCAGCGAGGGGCCTGCTCCTGTTCTCAGGGCACTGTGCCAGCCTCTGAACCCACCTCCAGCCCCCAGCCTGCCTGTTCTAACAGCCCTCCTCCCCAGCACAGCCTGTTCCACCTCTCCACATGCAGATATAACCACGATGGCCCCTACTTAAAGCCCATCCAGGTACCCAGCCTCCTGCAGACCCCGACCACCAGCTCCAGTCTGGCTTTCAGCCTCCCTGTAATGGCCCCTGGCAGCTCCACCCATGTATCCCGTGGTCCAGCCTCAATGACCTCCCTCCAGGACTCATCCCAGGCAGAGTGGGGACACCCCTGCCCATCCCAGCACTGACCACTCCGCACCATCTCTCCCTCTGGAAGAGGCTGAGCCCCCAGGGGGCCGGATAGGCCTTCCTTCCTCATAGGATCCTCACCTACAACCCTCCCCAACTCCCACAAGCAGCCAGAGGCTTCGAGTGCAAACTGTTGGAAAAAGAACAATCTGGCACTGTTCTCTGGCCTGTCACCCAGTAGGTGATCAATAAACATTTGTGGAACAAATGAATGAATAACTGAGCTAATAGGAAGGTCTTTGCCTCGGGTTGGGGGGCACAGTGGGACCAGAGCCCACCCACCAGGAAGGATGAGTAGGGGCATCCACTCACCATAGCTGGGCTGACCCACACAGCCTTCCCCAAGGGGGCCAGCTGCCGAGGCCACGTTGTCATAGCAACAGCCAAACTGGGAGCCCCGGCACTCACTGGGCTCATTCTGCTGGGCCTGGGGCTGGTGGGCCCTGGGAGCCTGGGGAGGAAGCCCAGGGTTGGGAAGTTGGGAATAGGTCTGACTCTTGGGGGACTCTGGGCTGCCTGGGGGAGGATGGCAGGAAGAGGGAGGCACAGAATTATAAGCCCACAGGGCATAACCCCAGCCCAGGGAGATCAGAGGCCAAGAGAATGTCGGATGAGCCCCCAAGCCCCAGCCCAGGCCCATCTCTGAAGCCCTGAGCCCTCAAGAGGATGGCCCAGGCCAGTAGGCTTCAGGTACCTCTCTTCTCCAAAGCCAAAGCTGCAAAGAGCCTGGGTCACAGTGGCATTGAGCAGACCCAGGGCATTGGACTCCTGCCCCCTCACATGAACCAGATACTTACTGTGGAAGTCACTGCTCTCGACCCCAGCCTGTTCTTGGTGCTGTTACTGCCATAAGACCTTGTGCAGCCAGCCTGATGGGGCCCCTCAGCCACAGACACCCCATCAGGGCAGCACCCGTACCTAGACAGACATCACACAGCCTCCCCTCACCACGCGGCCCTGATCCCCACCCTTCCGGGGACCCTGAGCCGCCAGCATCCCAGGACCCAGGTGCTGAGCCTCCCTGAGCTGGGGGCTGACCAGGTGGCGTGTCCCTGTGTGCAGGGCATACCATTTGGGGTACCCTGGTCTCTGCCCACATCTAGTGACCACTTAGTGGCTACCAGGGAGGGTAACAGTGACACAGTAAGCAGAACTGTGCCCCTAACAATTGACAGATCCTCAATGCACACATCCCACCACAAAACCACGGAGGGGGAAGTTCACTTGAGCCTGCCCACATATCAGGTTCCTAGGGAGTTTCTACAAAAGAGCAGCAGATGGGAGATGGGGCAAAAAAGGGTGTCAAAGGAGCCCACCACTTATTTCACCTCCAACAACCAGGTGTTGGGAAGGAAGGCGAAAGAGGGAATGTGTCGACGCATATTCTATGTGTGAAGCACCATGTGATTCGTTTCATCCTCACAGTAACCCTAGCCAGTGGCTGTCATTGTTCTTAATTCTCAGCAGAGGAAGCCAAGATCAGAGAGAATCCAGACCCCCAAATAACTTGCCCCAAGCCACCCAGCACACAGCTGGAAAGTGGCTGAGCTGGGAATCACCCCCAGGCTGCTGGCCCCAAAGTCTGAGCCCTTAGCACCCCAGCCCCTGAGGGAGTGGGCACATGCTGGGACAAGTTCAGGGCAGGCCATGGAGAGGAGGAGAGCCACACGGAGGGCATCTGGGGAGCTCGGGTGGCTCAGCCCCTCTCCAAGGCTGAAGCGGGTGGGATTATTAGGAATTGAAGAAAGTTGGTCGGCCTTTTCCAGCCTTGACACTGGGTTCCCTGAGCCTGGTTTGGATCTGAGAGCTAGAATCATACCCTATGTGCCTTCTCAGAGCCTCAGGTTACACCTCAACAGGCTTCTGCAGAGAGAGCAGGGATTTCTACCCCCACTCAGCACATTAGGAAACTCGGCAAGAGGAAGCAGCAAGTCCTCAAGGTTGTACAATCAGCGCCCCGCCCCGCCCCCACCCCGCCTTCCCTCTCTGAGCTGGTGAGGAGGACAAGGCTGTCTGGGCACCTACCTGCTCTGCTGACAAGAGGCCCCAGGGCAGCCTTGCCACTCTGGCCCAAGAGATGTGGTGTGGCCATCAGGGCAGCACCCATAGGGGCTGTGTCTGCAGTCTCGGGGGCCTGAGCCAGACCACAGGGGCTGCTGGTGTAAGGACTGCTGCAGAGAGGGTGCTGAGCCCAGACCTGGCAGGTAGGGGTCTGGATCTCTTCTGGGATTACCCTGGGCTGAGGGTCTCTCCTGGGGTGCCCACCACTGGTTTCTAGATTCTAGAAAGAAGAGGAAACAAAAGAGAAGCTAATGTGTCCACCAGGCCCCTCCCCCTCCATCTGTGTCCACATCAGACCTGCTTCTCTCCATCCCCCCTACACCACTAGCCCCACTCTCAACCTCCATCTCCAGGCACCACCCACTAGGACACAAAGACAAGAGGGCCCTGGGTTGGGGGCTTCCACTGAGCTTCTCACCTGAGGTGGGGGCCTCCCAAGGGCCCAAAGACATCCAGGGGTCCCGGGGGCTGTTGTGCATGTCCTGCATGCTGGGGACTTCTGCAGGGATCCAGGGCAGTCGGGGAGGGGTACAGAGAGGAGGAAGAGAGTGGGCCTGAGTGGTGGCCAGCCCTGACCAACATCTGCTCCCACCCCACTGCTCAGGCAGGGCCTGGGGAACCCAGGACAACAGAAGTGAAAATGAGCAGTACCTGTGATTTCATAAAACACCCTTCCCATGTTTCAGAAGTCTTTAATCACAGAGAAAATACTAATGTTACATGTTTAGCAAAAAGAAAAGCCAGATATAAAATTAGCCTCTATGTTTGATCCCGATTACATCAAACAAAAAATGATACACAAATTTTTAATTAGACTGATGAAAAGACAAACAGTCCAATTAAAAAAATGGTCAAAGAACTTGAACAGATATTTCCCCAAAGAAGATAAACAAACGGCCAACAAACAAATGAAAAGATGCTCAACATCATTGGTCACTAAGAAAATGCAAGTCAAAGCCATAGTGAGGTACCACTTCACACCCACTAGGATGGCTCCAATCAAAAAGACTGAAATAATAACAAGTGTTGATGAGCATGTGGACAAACTGGAACCCTCGTACATTGCTGGTGGGAATGTAAAATGGTGCAGTCACTGTGGAAACCGTTTGGCGGTTCCTCAAAAAGTCAAACATAGAATCACCATACAGCCAAGCAATTCCACTCCTAGGTACACACCCAAGAGAAACAAAAACATATGTCCACACAGAAACCTGTACATGAATGTTTACAGCAGTATTATTCATTATAGCCGGAAGGTGGAAACCCAAATGTCTATCAAGAGATGAATGGACAAAAAAATTGTGGTATATCCATATAACAGAATGTTATTCAGCCATAAAAAGGAATGAAGTGCTGATGCATGCTACAACTTGGATGAACCTCAAAAACATCCATAGACACAGAAAGCAGATCAGGTTCCCAGGGAAGGCGGTTAGTGTTAACGGGGAGTGACTCCTTAATGGAAACTTTGAAACTAGAGGAGGGCTGGTGGTTGTACAACATTGTGAATATACCAAATTGTACACTTCAAAATGGTTAGCTCTATGTTATGTGAATTTCATCTCAATAAAAAAGCTCCATAATACAAACAATTGGACTGATAAATAAAGGAATGAAAGAGTAGATAACGAAACTGCAAATATAACAAAATATCAATTGTAGAATTTAGATGGTGAGTACATGGCAGCTCAGGATACAGTTCTTCAATTTTTCTATATATTTAAAATTTTTCATCATCTTGTTGTCCAACTTGGTGAACTTACTAAAAATCATAAATTGTACCATTAGAATGGGTGAATTTTATGGTATATGATATTTAACCACCTCAAAGTTATTAAAAAGATTTTTGGGGCCAGCCCCATGGCGTAGTGGTTAAGTTCGGCAAACTCCGCTTCGGCCGCCCAGGTTCAGTTCCTGGGTGCAAACATACACCACTCATCAGCCGTGCTGTGGCAGCAACCCACATACAAAATAGAGGAAGATTGGCACAGATGTTAGCTCAGAGCTAATCTTCCTCAGCAAGGAAAGAAAAGACAAAAAAATTTCATCATAAAGTGTTTGAGATAAAAATGCAAAAGGCTGAGTAGAGAAAATTAGGACAATAGGATTTTTTTTTATGCTGCATAAAAGACGATTTGCAAGACACACCCCAAAATGCTCACAGTGAAAGTTTCTGAGTGCTTCATGTGTGGAGGTATGGGAGGGAGTTCCCTTCCTTCTATTTGTTAGTGGTTTTCAAATTTTTCACCATAAGCGTATTACTACATAATGGAATGAAGTTAGAAAAAATAAGTGCAAATTCCATTCCCATATGGACTACATCTTGCCAGTCCCCAGGGAATATTAAACTATAATTATTTAGGGTTGGAAGACTACCAGATAATTGGTAAAATCTTTGTTTCCATTTTACTGCCTATCCCACTCAGGCCAAAACCTTGGATAAGGCTGATTCAAATTCTCTCCCCAGTTCTGTCATCTCCCAACATTCTTTGGGCCCTGAGTTCACAGTCCCCAGCCAGCCTGAGAATTTCTGCCTGCTGTCCCTCTGTCACTTCAACTTGAAAGGCACCTTTCTGCCATGCCCATCCTGCCTCTGGCTTCCCTTCCTGGGACTCTTCCCTTCCATCTTCTTGGGCTTAACTCAGAGCCCCAGGCCCCCTCCCACATACCCTCTGGGCATCAGGCTCTGCTGGGCCAGAGCCTGTCCCTTCATTTCCATGGCTCTTTCTAGCACTTGGATTTCTGCAGCCTGCTCCCCACCAGGATCCTCCTCCCAACTGCCTCCACTTCCGTCTGACCCTCAGGCAGGTGCCAAATCTGTCTTCCTCAACAGCTTTCATGGTGTCTCCCTCCAAAACTTTCAGTGGCTCCCCAGGGCCTATTACACAAATTTAATCGGAAGCCGGAGGCCCTCCAGCATCCGGCCCAACACTAAGAGCACCACCCCCAGACAGACCTCCTGTCTGCTGATAAGATCATCCCCACCCTGGGCCGAGGGCCAGTTCTGGGGACCCTACTGGCCTCAGAGCTATGAACACTTGAAATGTGGCCAGAGTGACTGAGAAACTGAGTTTTAAATTTTATTTAATTAGAATTAATTTTAAATTTAAAAACTGCCACTTGATTCATTTGTTGGAAAACGCTCCAGTATGTCTGGAACAACTGTATGTATGTGAATCTCCTTTCTCAACTGTACATTTTACGAACTCTAAATACAGATCAAGTATGCCAGTGAAATTTTAGCATCTGAGCTGAGATGCGCTGTAAACGTAAACTATACGTTGGATTTTGAAGATTTAATTCAAAAAAAAATCTTGTGAAAAAAAAGAATGTAAAATATCCCATTAGTAATTTTTGTCAATTATATGTTAAAAATATTTTATTAGGTTAAATAAAATATGTTATTATATATAAATTCACTTGTTTCTTTTTACTTTTTTAAGGCAGTTCTTAGAAAATTCTAAATGACACATGTGGCTTGCATTCTACTTTGACTGACAAGCACTGCTCTAGAACCTGGGAGGAGGAGGACGCAGAAGTTGCCGTGGTGAGTCCCCTGTGTCCACTCGGCCCACCCCTCAGGGAGCCTCCTCATCGGACCCCCAGCCCCTCCACCTGGGCAGACGCATTATGCACTACAGCATTAGGTACCAAAAACACCAGAAATTCTAAATTCTCACCCATCACAGACTTCTGTGGAGCCCCCAGAAATCATGAGACTAGAAAATGTTCACACACCAAATGGCATTAAGGGGAAAAAGCAGATACAAAAGCACACACACACACACACACACACAGCAAATACACTAAAGATGAATCCCACCAATGGATGAGGTCAAGGGCAATTTAAGTCTCTCTCTCTCTTCTACTTTTCTAATTTCTCCAAATTTTCCACAATGAACATACATTATTTTTATAATTATAAAAATAGCAATCAAGGTTTTTCCTTTTACAATTCAGCCTGGCCTGAAACTCTCTTTACGTTTCCTTCCTTTCTATTTATGTGAATCCTACCAGTCTCTGGGGCCGGCACAGGGCCACTTCTTCCAGGAAGGCGTCCAAGGCCCTGGGATACTGAGTGGCTCCAGGAAGCTGGACCCATGGGAGCCTGAGGATCCTCTGGCTCTTGCACCCCAAGGGCGAGGCCCAGGCTGAGGGACCCCAGGGGCCCCCTCATGGCCTTACCACCACTACTTCAGACCCTTTGCTTATCCAGCGCTGTGTGTTTGAGCACTGTGCAAGTGACTCACCATGAGCCTGGAAGTCACTCATCAACCCATTGTACAGAAGGGCACACCGAGAATCAGAGGAGAAGCACTGCCCCGGGCCCCACGGTCGGTCAGCAACAGAGTGGAGATCTGAACCCAGGTTAGCTGGTGACTCCAGGCCACAGGCTCTTAGCCACCATGCCATGTGTCTTCACTGGAATCCTACCACTCCCCTTCATGGCTCACAGGCCCCCATCATCAGCACGTCAGGGCCAAACACACCTCTCCGCAGTGTCAGAAGGCCACCCCCTCACCCACCACCTCCCCCAGCTCAGCCCCAACCCTCACCCTTCCTCCATATCACATCCTCACACCAAGTAAGTGCTGGCCTCGGTGCCCTTGCTCCTGCGGCCCCTCATGCCTAGGACTACTTCTTTTGCAGTGGGCATTGGGGTGAGGGGAAGGGCAAAGACAGAGGCAGAAGCAGCACGTGAGGACAGTCTTTCCTGGACCACCTCCCTCCTCTGCACTCACTCAGTCATTCAACAAACATTTACTGAGTGCCTACTGCGTGCTAACTAAGTTCTGTGGCAGTATAAACAGGAATAAGGAAGTCAGGGACTCAGCCCTCAAGAAGCTTATAGCTAGTAGAAGTCATATACAACCACTGCAGTACAAGGAAAGCAACCGGAGGGTGACAGTGGTTACAATGAGCCATGGGGGGTAGGGTAAGGGATGCTGCCTCTGACAGAGGAAACAAGGCTGGCTCGTGAGGTTGCAGAGTTGGACTCTTTGGGTGGCAAAGGCTTCGGTAAACAGAGATGCAAGAGAAGAGCGGTCCCAGTGCTCACACATTACAGGCAAACACCCAGAGGCAGGAGGTGCTGGTGAGGTTTGTAGTGCAGAAGAGGTCAGGCCAGGCTCCGCCCTGCCCCTCCTGTCCTTACCCGGAGGAAGATGGCAGGGCTGCGTGTTACAGGGCTCCACATCCGCAGGCTGGGACAGCTGCAGGCTTCTGCAGCGGCCAGGCGGCCCAATGGCACAGACGACCTGGCGCCTGCGCATGCCGGAGCTGCAGCTCTTGGAGCACTGGGCCCGCGGGATGGGGATGGAGGAGAGAAACGCATGCATAAGGAGAGAGGTGCTGAGGCTGGTGGTGAGGGAGGGCGCCCACAAGGGCTGGGGTGGGGAGGCACCTGGTAACGCACGTCAGACCCAAGGATGGGACATGGGCATCCACCTGTCAGAGACCTGAGGGATCAGGATTGGCAGCAGGTCTGGGGGGGTAGCAATTACTCACGAGACCCCAGGCGCCTATTCGCCAGGCCTGGTCATCAAGGGGGGCACAGTCGTCATGCACACAGGGCTCAGTGAGTGGGGGCCGGTCCTCCAAGGAGCACACTGTGGCATGGAGCAGAGACCCTTCGTCACCTCGGCAAGTGACGCTCCGCCTCCGGACCCCAGCACCGCAGCTGACAGAGCACTGTAAAGACAAGGCTGTCAGCAGGAGCTTGTCCTTGCCCAGAGGCTCCATGCCAGGTCGACAGCTGGAGGCCCACCACCCTGGCATGAAGCATGGACAGCACCCTACTGCCCATGTCCAGCTCCCAGGCCCAGAGAGGCTGAGTCATTCTCTTGAGGTCACACAGCCTGAACCATGGCTGCTGACACCAGGCTGAGGTGCATTTTCCACATCCCCTCTTTTGCAACTTGATCACATGTAGGTGCTGGAAACAGTAACCAGCAGCCCCAGGCAGTGCCAGCTCCTCCCTCGCCCCCATACAATGCACCTGGCTTCTTCTTCATGCCAAGGTCAAGCCTTTCCCACCCTGCCTGGGATCCTCGAGGAGAAAGAGCACCAGAGGAGGAGTCCAAGCACCTGCTCCTAGTTCCCAAGACGACCTAGCAGGTCACTCTACTCCCAGGATCTGTCTCCACAGCAGAGGACAAGCACCCAGCCCTGTCCTGCCACTGCCCCAGGCCCAAGACCCAGCTCCTGATCTCCGCCCCATCCTGTCCGGACAGGGGCCTCACCTCTCCCCAGGGCTCCATGCTCCAGGCTGCACAGCGCTGCAGGTTGCAAGCCTGTGTGGTAGGGGGCTTCCCAGGCAGGCCTGCACACTCAGCCTCCTTGGCAGCCTCCTGGATGCCAGCCCCATTGGACGAGACGCAGTAGACAGAACGGGACTGGGAGCCGCCTCCGCAGGAGGCTGAGCAGGGCGCCCAGGGCCCTGTCTTCCAGCTGGCAGGGAGCAGGAATCTGTGAGGCTGGCCCAGGAGCAGGGGCTGGAGCCCAGGCCCGAGGGGGCACCAGCTCTCACATACCGGAGTGGGCTGGAGACCCCCCCCAACCCATCCTCTGAACATCTGGGCCTGTGCAGGTAAGGGGCGAAGAGCTCTGCACAAAGGCCAAGACTCGGGCCCTGCTCGCTATCTCCCATCACCGTGTGCTGGTCCCCTGCAACACGGAGCCTGACGGCCTCCCTCTCAGCTTTCCTGTCCTCACCTGCATCCTCCTTTCTCCTTCTCACCAGGTGCCCTATCACCCCCAGCCAGACTCCATCACCTCCAGGTCTGACCTTAGCTGGGGCATCTCCCAGAGCGGCCATGCTCACCCATGTGTGGAGTGGCCCTGCTTGGCCCTGGGACACAGGGACCCGGAGGAAAGGGCAGCCCCCATGGCACCGTGCAAAGCCAAGCCCACCACCATCCCGCGAGACCAGCTGCCACCTAGGCCAGGAGGGTAGAAGGACTGCACCAGCCCTGCAGGGAGCCTGTAGCCTGCAGATTACCTTTTCCCGCACACACGCTGGGCCCCAGCAAGGTGCCACACTCTGGGCTCATACAGGTAAGACGTCTTTTGTGCATGAACAAAGGCATTGCCAATGCCCACAGGCCCTTTGGCCCAATCCCTGGCCCACAGCTTGGCCTCTGCCAAGCCAAGCTCCCTGCCGGCTCAGACAGACAGGGCATCCAGTACCTTCCCCAGCCCTCCTGCCACCAGCCTGGACAGTCTGGTCACTGTGTGGGCACACGAGGGTGGACAGTATAGCCCTTGGCCTCACGCTCAGGGCCCACCCTTGCCTCCTCGCCACTCCAACCACAGCTGTGGGGAGCCCTGGGCCACCCAACCTCTTTGCTCCACACCTAAAGCAGCCTAGGGACCTTGCTCCCTTCCCACCCAAATGCTTGGGCCCTGGCCTGGGTGGAGGGGGCTGGCAAAGGCCTCACCGCTTGGTCTGCAGGCAGGGCTGAGGGTTGCAGGGACGGTGGTCGGCTGGCCGCGGCTGGTGCTGGCACATGTGGTCAGGGTAGGCCTCATTGTCAATGGTGCAGAACACCAGGCGGGACTGGTGACCTGCAGAGGCCAGGCCACCACAGGCAGCCAGTCAGTGAACATTCACCAGACATACTCTGGGCCCCGCACCATCTGGACACGTCCCAAGTGTCATCTTGATTAAGTCTCAAATGATTTGAGGAAACTGATGCTGGGAGAGTTTTAGCCGTGAGTGATGCAGCCCTGCTGTGACACGGTCACTGGCTCTAGGCCTGGCCTCCGCTGCCAATAGAGTACCGACTCCTGTGAAATGCCCCGGCCTCCGGAAAGCCCCCTCTGCTTCTCTTAGCTTAGGTGGGAGCCCTTCACAGAGTTCCCCAACCCCTGAGTTTCCCCAAGGTGACCCCCATGACACGCAGCTGTCTCACCCGCTAGTCCACCTCCCCCTAGGGCTGGAGCCTTGAGAAAGCTTGAGCCACCCCAGGTCCCCTCACCTGCGCCACAGTCGGCGCTGCAGTCGTTCCAGGAGCCGTGACTCCAGCTGAAGCCGGGCCGCGGGGCGCCCAGAGGCAGGTGATACTCGTAGCGCACGCCAGGGCTGGGCTCCTGGCTGATGAGCTGCGCAGGAAGGTCCAGGTGGGGCCTGCTCGCCTCGCCCCACGGCCTCCTGGGGCCCAGGCGCCCCCCACTGGCCCAGAGGCCGTCTCCAGGCCGCCGCGCTCACCTCGATGACCAGGGGCTCCGAGGTGGGGCCGCGTGCGTGCAGCCGCTCCGGCGCCAGGTCCCCTTCGGCGCCGCGCTCGTAGTGCAGGAGGGTGCTGGCCACCGGCAGGGCCCGAGCGCCCTCGACGGTCCAGTGCCCGTTGAGGTAGTACTGCCCGCGGACGTTCCTCACCGCTGTCGGAGGGAGCCCCAGTCAGCGGCAGGGGCAGGACCCGCCGCCGGCCGCACCCCGAACTCGCGCCTGCCCAACTGTGCTCTCACCCAGGAAATTCCTGCTGGCGGCCGCCTCCTCGATGCGGATGCTAGTGGCCCCCACGGGAACTATGAGGATCTGGTTGTAGCCTGAGGGGCAGAGAAACTCTGGGACCACCCAAGCCACAGGAAGGAGCTGGCCCTGAGGATGCTAAGTGCCCAGCAGCACAGATGGGGTCAGGGAAGGGCAAGTAGGACACAGGCAGGGCTGGCTGCCTGGGGAAGATGTTCCTGGAGGAGGAAACAGCTTTACACAGGCCAGAGGGGTGGGCAGGCTTGGGCACCCAAACTGACTGAGAGGGGGAGGGGACAGATGGGGACAATGGGGGAAGGGCTGAGGAGGGCATCCAGGTGGCAGCAGTAAGAGATGAGACTGGATAAGTGGGTCCTAACCAGCATAGTCCATGGGCTCCTGTGAAAGTGTTCGGCCTCCACCCTGAGGCATGAGCTGAGTGCCAGATCAGAGCCTCTCAGTGGCATGAGGGTGATGCAGCCAGAGCGGAAGACAGGCAAGGAAGGGACAAGCAACAGACCCTTGTGTCAACTGCCTGTGGACCCCCGGAGGACCCCACCTCTGCTGAGGTCATTGGCATCAAAGGTGCCTGTGATGGGGTAGCAGGTCGTGCCGTCACCCCCACACTGCAGACACTTGTCCTCCTGCTTTGACGAGTCTAGGTTGTGGTCACAGCCGACAACCTGCCAGGCAGACATGGGCGACAGACAGGAGAGACTAGAGGGAGTCCCTGACACACTGGGACTCGAACCCTGGTGGACCAGCCAGGTCAGGTCAGGGAGGAGCAGTAACTGTTCATTAGCCATGAATAGTAAACCTTGATCTGAGTAAACCTTGGATCTGGCCTGTGCCTGACAGGCCAGCTCTTTTGCCCCCTCAGCACCCATTTCCCCTTCTCTGGCAACAACACCTGATTTTCCTTTGGGGGCCACCTCTCTCCCACAGCACTTGGATAGTGCTCCCCAACAGTGGGTTTGGGCATATCAGTGGGTTGTACACCTTGCTCAAAGAGAGTGGTCCAGGGGGAGCCCCAAGCCAAGTCAGAGGTGACCCCAGGTTTATGGAACTCCTGGGAATGGGGTGCCCTTTCCCAGGGAGTTGCCTGGCTGGGACGGCTGATGCCTGGAGCTGCTGGTGGCCATCTTCACACGTCACAGGAAGAAGCTGCCTGATCCAATGCTGACCCAGAGAGGAGAGGAGAGCCAAGAGGCCAGGAGAGAGACATTTCCAGCAGCATCATTCAGGCACCCGCAGCCAGCCAGCCAGCCCAGACTTCAATGGCCTTTTTTTTTTTGCTTAAGTCAGTTTTAGTCAGGTTTCTGTAACTTGCCACCCAGGGGGTTGCCCTTATTGTGGGGCTAGAGTTTTCAAAGGGCAAAGATAAGAGGGTCATAGGGCATCTGTGATGCAAGGCACCTTAGAAGCTGGTCTTGAGACGACATCAAGCTCATGAGAGCCACTGGCCCTGCTGGTGTGGGACAGGGAGACACCCTGCATAAGCCCCAAGCCAGCTCCCAGGTGGGTAGGGGGACAACTCACCCGGCAGCTGCCATCCACACAGATGTCCCGTTTGCCAGGCTCACAGGGCGTCCCGTCTACCACGGCCTCCCTGTGCTTGTAGTAGAAGTTCTCCCCCTCAGGAATGCAGTTCAGTTCACACTTGTTTGGGGCTGGGGCAGGCAAAAGGGGGCAAGTTAGATCCCCAGAGAGGGTCAGCCTATCCTAGCAACGGTGAAGCGTGGGCAGGGGCCAGAAGCATACGAATGGCTGGGGGAGAGCCCTTGCAGCAGCCCCCCAAGCAGCTCAGAATCCTGCCCCATCTCAGGGAGACTGGACGTTCTCCACGAAACTGCTGCATCTCTGGGGATCAAGATGAAGAAAAATCCCAAAATAAGGAAAAAGCTAGACACTTGAAGAGGTCTATCTCAGCATTCTTTATAATAGCCCGAGTGTTAATCATCTACTCTTTAAATTATCTATCAATAGATTATTATACATGTTGACTATGCTGTTAAAAATGATTATGAAGGGCCGGCCCTGTGGCTTGGTGGTTAAGTGCGCGCGCTGCAATGCTGGTGGCCCGGGTTCGGATCCCGGGTGCGCATCGAGGCACCACTTCTCCGTTCATCCTGAGGCCGAGTCCCGCATACAGCAACTAGAAGGATGTGCAGCTACGACATACAACTACCCACTGGGGCTTTGGGGGGAAAAAAAAAAAAAAAAAAAAATTTTAAAAAAAAAAAAAAAAAAAGATTATGAAGACCGTATAGTTATGTGGGATATAGATAACAAAATGCAAAATGGAACTATGTAATAATTACAAACATGTAAACATAGAGAGAAAATGTGAAAAAGGCTAGAATGAAATGCTAGCAGTGATGCCATGAAAGAGGCGGGGTTAAGGTCATTTTTTTCTTGTTTTAATTTTTTATCTAAATATTATACACAAATTGTTTAAACAGCCCAGAAGTGCTAACAGTGTTGTAATAATCTCCACAACAAAGAAGGCATTCCTCTACTACTCTTTTTAATGCTTCCTCCATGTTCCAATTTTTCTGTAATAAGGATATACTTAAATTATTTTCAACATATGCTCACCTCAGGATCCAGGAGGAGGTATGAATGCCACAGGGCCCCACTGGGGCCACCCCCTCTGCCAAGACCCCCTCCCCACCGCACAGCACACACAGGCTATAAATGCTCATTGATTTGGAATCCAGAGTGCCAGAGTTTCCAGGAGTCATTTGCTGGGAGCAGGGAAAACTAACACTCAGAAGGATAATCCTAAGGTACCTTCTGACTCATCTAAAACGTTTTAATTACATACAAGTGAGTGTTTCTTTCTTGAACTGTATTGCTCTAAAAACTAACGACCTACACCCTCCTCAAAGTCGCCCAGAGCATGCCCCCGGCCCCAGAGACCCTGAGTACAGGGCCCTCGCTCTGCGGAGTCCCTGCAGCCGGTCCTGCCGTTTGCGCAAACCTGGCGGCCCCCTTCCCCGCGCCCCCTCCCCGCGCCTCTGCGCAACGGAGCAACGCTGAGGGGCGCAGGCCAAACAAAACGGGGCTCCAATGGCATAGACAAGGCCATGGCTTTGTTTGAAATGTATACAGACTGATAAAAGGACGGAAAGACCAAAAAATCACCCCCAGTGTTGTGTTGCCACGGGCACGTGCTGGGGGCACTGGTGATTTTTTTTTTTAACGTATTTGGCAGAGTGTCTACAGTATGGTAATAAGAATTGTGAGATGAAAAATCAGTGTATAAAAGAGATTCCAAAGCGATGGGGACCAGGGTAGCGAAAGCAGCGTGTCCGCTTACCCCGGTGGTAGGGCAGCCACCTGTACCGCCTGCCCTGGAACTCGCGGCCGTCGAACTCGGCGCACTGCTCAGCCCTGAAGTCCCGGGCGCCCTCGGGGCAGCTCTGCGGGGCGGAGGGGTAGGAGAGTGGGGAGTGGGTCCACCACTGGGGTCTCCCTACCCAGTCAGGGTCCCGTTCCCCTCCTCCCAGCACTGGCTGAGTTCCTGGAGGCAGAGTGGGCCCCCAGGGCTGCCGTGCACCCCCCTCCAGGTGCGGGGACTTTGGGCTGCCCAGGGGAGCCTCTCCCTGCAGGTGCCGGGTGAGGAAAGGGCAGGAGCGCCCCCAGGCCGGGCTAACCGAGGGGCCTGGGTGGGGGTGGCTGGAGCCAGGGGAGGGCGCCCTGGGGCTGGATGTTGGGGCTCCTGGAAGCTGGTACCCCGCCCCCATGGGCTTTACCTCCGTGCGGCAAGTGCGGTGGCTGCGGGCCGGGCCCACACAGCTGGAGCCCCCATCTCTCCTGCAAGACAAGGGCACGGAGAAGACCCGAACCCCCACGACCCAACCCCCCCCAACACTCCTGGGCTCTCCCGCAGGCCCCCCAGCTTCTGTGGGGCTCCTGTGGGCAAAGTGGGGCCAGAAGGGCACAAGGTGAGGAGGGGGTGCCTGCCCACATCAGTTCCCTCCGGTAGGTGCGGTGAGCCCCATGTTATACTTGGGAGAAATGAGACTCAGAATCCTAACTATCCAGCAGTTTGTCCAACTTGGGGCTGCTCTACCTCTGAAAGCAAATTTCCAGAGAAGACCCAAACTCTGCCCTTGGAGATAAAGACACAATATATATCCACCTGGTAAGGTTATTCTGCCATTTAAGGAGTAAATGAGTGTAAGGTGCTTAGAATAATAGCTCATCTCTCTTCCTCTTCACACAGGTTCTCAGGAACAGTGAGTTAAACCAACTAGCAGGCAAGGTGCCATCGCCCCTCCTTTTGTGCCCACCTCCCTATAGCACCTGTCAGAGTGCAGGGCACACAGTCGGTGCTTAATAAGTCACTTGAAGTGGGAAACATCTATGCTTGACAAAGTGGCTGCGGGTAGGGAAACCGCACAGGTTTGGCATTGTTGAAGATTATTAATTAGTTCAACAAGAATTTACAGCACCTGCCACATGCCAGGCTCTGCATTAGGAGCTAGAGACCCAGGGGTGCATGAAGCAGGCGTGGCTCCAGCTCATCCGAAATGAGGCAGATTGTGGAAATCAGAGTATATGTATGTGGGAAATAACTTGATTTCAAATACTCCATCCATGCTGTGCCCAGAATGAATCTATTGTGTGGTGGGCTCTGGCCGTGGGGCCCGGTGCTGGCCCTGGACACCTAGTCCAGGACCCAGCAGACTCCCTCACAGCCTCTTTTAATGAGTAGGCCCATTCCAGCCTCCCCTACCTCTGGGAGTAGCAGGGGCGCTCCTGGAAGCTGACGCCCCCTCCGCAGGTCCGGCTGCAGGGGCTCCAGCTGCCCCAGGGGCCCCAGGTGTCACTCCGCCACCTCACCTGGGGAGCCTGGAGGAGAAGACAGGCTCAGGAGCGGGAGTCAGCACTCAGAGTCCCCCCAGGGCACTCAGAGGCTCACCCGAGGGCCCCCTGCCTAAAAGGAGCCTGGGATTCTCTCTGCTAGAGCCAACCCTTCAGGACTTGGCAATACCGCCAGGCACCCTGAACATACTCATTTACAGAACTGGCCAGCTTTCACCATAAGCAGCTGAGAGCCAAGCCTGGAGGGCGAAAGCGGGGAGGCAGCCAGGAAAAGTCTGGAATTTCAGGGGCCACCTGGGGGTGGAACCCTACAGCCAGAGGCAGTGCAAGGGCTCAGGCATATGGGGGTTGCCACTGATGTAGGGACTCTAAAAGAAAAAGGAAGCAACATAGGACAGAGGCACAGCAGATGATGAGGGGTCAGATGAGGGGATCCCACTCTGCTCCTCGCTTAGGAGCTGTGTGACTCGGGGCCAATCACCTAACCTCGCTCAGCCGTGGTTCTCTCATCTGTCAAAGTAGCCACCACCAGCAGCTCCTATTTGCCAGGCACAGTGGGGAAACCACCAAGCTGGGGGCAGAGAATTTCTCCCCTGACAATGATATCCCCCAGCCTATGCAGAGTCTGGTCTGAGAATCGAGATGTCTGCAAACATACCCCTGCCTGGGAGCCCGTGGATCAGCAGAGTGCGCCCTTCCAGGAGGGAGATATAAAAGGCAGGACGGTAGGTAGGGCTCCATCTGCCCAGGGAATGTCGCCCACGGGCAGTGCTATGCTTCACTAGGGTCTAGAGTGGAGAAGCCACAGCAGAGGAACTTAATCTAATCCTCTGTATGTGTGTGGTGGGCCGGGGGTTCCTGCCAATCTGTGGAATCCCAGGAATCCCCCAGTATCCATCCTCCTCTTCTCCCATTGTGAGAGAACCCTTGACTCTTAGCTGGGTACCTGGGTGCCTTCCCCAAAATTCATTTCCCAGACTTCTTGCAGCTATCTGTGGCTACATCACTAAGTTCTCATCAATGAGATATGTTGGGCAGCAGCATCTAGTAATCTCCTTAAGAGATAGCTTGCCTGTGCATTTGTCCTTCTTCTTCCTCCTGTACTCCTTCCTGCAGGCTGGAAAGTGGATGTGATGGCTAGAGTTGGAGCATCCTTCTAGACTATGAGGTAACTTGGGAATAGAGGCTTCAACAGTGAGGCCAAGATAGAACGACCCTAGAGCCTGGAAGACTTTGTGAGACTGAACATCCCTGGACTTCGGATCTCTAGGTGTTTATGTGAGAGAGGGATCAAGGCTCTCTTGTTGAAGGACTGTTATTTGGGACTCTGTAACAGGAATATAATCCTAATGGATAGTTTCTCACCAGAAAGATCTGACACTCTGCACGGCATCAGAACTCCACACGCTACACACATGTCATCTCATTTAATCATCAGAACAACCTGACAGACCCAGTGCATGGATAAGAAAAGTGAGGTGGAGAGAGAGGGAGCCACAGAACAAGTGGACACAACAGCAGGTCAGCTTCACCCCGGGCCTCTGCTCTCACGCTGGGCTATGTTCCCACCTGCCTCACTGGGGCGATCAAATGAGACACTGGATGAGTCCTAACACTAGATGAGCTGGACAGCTGTTCGGCTTGACTTTGCAGTTTTGCCAGGAGGTGGAGGGTGCACTGGAAATATGTCCTGTTGCTGGCAAGGGACTTTATGTTAGGGCATCACCACATAAGAATCTCTAGGAAAAACATCGCTCCCATTTTCCAGAGAAAGAACTCAAGTCCTAATGTGGAAAAGCAAGATCCTCCTCCTGCTGTGAGCCTCCTGTACCCTCACAGGGTCTCAGGTGAGGATGGAGGCTTATGCACCCATAGGTTACTCAGAGCTCATTTCTAACACCCCTGGTGCCAGGCAGCTAGTACCCTTGTTTTATAATAGAGCCAGAACCCTGAATTGGAACAAAGCCAGCTAAATTTGCTGAACCACACACAAAACCAAGAGGGAAGGGCCTGCCAGACCAAAGGTCTTAGCTTTCACTCTTCAAATCATCTACACCTTCAGTTCTAACGGGGACAAAATCGCCAAGCTTTCAAAAACCAGTGAACCAGACTATCAAAGTGCTCTTCCAATGAAATTTAAATTGAAATGTACTTGGATCAAGTTCGTATTTTAAAAGAGAAGATAGTGAGCATCAGGGGTGGAGGGTGACTTCCCAGGGACGAACAGTACCCCACCCCCCCACCATGTGCACACACACAGCCTCATCACATTATAAGAATTCTGGAAGTGGCCCATAGGGACTGTTGCTTTCTCGTCCTGCCAGCCCTAGCGTGGTTACTAATTACCCTCTGACTATGGCCTGTCTCGATGTCAGTCTCAGCTCCTGAAGCACAGTGACCTGGGCCTCCCCAATCCACCCTTCCCTGGGACTGGGCTGGGCTTACGGGTGTTGGCAAGGCAACAAGGGGCACCCCTGCCACCCAGCTACCTTGTGGCCGGCAGGATGAAGTGGAGGAAGGACTGGCCTAAACACAGCCCTCTAAGTACTGGGCCTTAGAAACACCCCCTTGCCTCACACACCCAGCACCTGTGAGGCAGTCATCTACTTGCCTGGGGCCACCAGCAGGCGGGATTGAGGGAACTAGTCTGCCAGATCCTAGAGCCTGCCCTGTCCATGTGGAAATTAATAAAAGAAACTTTGACTAAATTAGAGTAGGGAAGGCCTGTAGGGGGAGCTCTCATGCTCTGGCACACATCTCCAGTACACCAAATGGGAAGAGAGGTCCCCTTGCATCCTCCACAAGAAGTAAAACTACTTTACCACTGAAGGAAGATTTCTCTCCCACCTGGCAACAGCCCAGCCAATGAGAAATGCTGCAGCTCAGCCAATGAGAAGCCATTGCCACCCTGAACTGCTATTTTCCCCAATGGACTTTCACTTAGAACAGCCCCTCCCTATTCCCCTTTTCTCTCTCTAAAAGCAGCTCCTCTCCTTTGTTTACTGGATTTGCCTGTGGTTTGCCATAGCATGCAGATCCTGAATTGCAATTCTTTTGCCTATACTGGAATAAACTCATTTTGAGGTAAAATAACAGGCTAATTTGCTTTTTAAGTAAACATATATGGTGTCAGAAAAGTGAGATCCAAAGGAGGCGGCCCCCCAAGAGATGGCGACCCCCAGAATTGAGTGAGGTACCCACACTGAGCCCCTTGTGCTCACTGCTTCTGTGAGTTGCTGCTTGCTTTGAGTTTGGTGAGTGGCTTCTTGGATTTCAAGCTCTGCTCCCTTTGTGTCCTGAGCTTTCCAACTTCACTCAGGATTAGGATAAGCTTTGTCCTCTCCAGAGAGGGACTTTTTCCTCCCGGTTCAAGGCTCTGTTCTTGAGTTCAAGGTGTCGTCCTTGGTGAGTACTCAGTTATTTTCCGAAGGTAGCACAGTTCCTTTTGGGGCTCAGGCTTGTTGAAAATCCAGGTGTTTTTCCTTTGTTTTCAGATTCCTTTTGGAATCAGGGCTAGGAATCCAGCAACTTTTCTTTTGTTTTCCGATTCCTTCGGGGATCACGACTAGGACTCTAGCAAGCTTTCTCAGGTTTTCAGACGAAATTTCAAAGTGGGATCCCACTCATCTAAATGTTCTGAGGGAGGGCCGGCCCTGTGGCTTGGTGGTTAAGTGCGCGCGCTGCGATGCTGGCGGCCCGGGTTCGGATCCCGGGTGCGCATCGAGGCACCACTTCTCCGTTCATCCTGAGGCCGAGTCCCACATACAGCAACTAGAAGGATGTGCAGCTATGACACACAACTATCCACTGGGGCTTTGGGGGGAAAAATAAAATAAATAAAATCTTTAAATGTTCTGAGGGAAACCCTCCTTCAGGGACGCTGGGTTTATGTTTAAGAACTTTGGGCCCCCTGTATGTGCATTTTTAACTAAGTGGGCCAAACAGATCAAAAGCAGTCTGGAATTGCAATGGCCTTATGAGGAACTTCTGATCTCCCCAAACTAGCTAAACAAAATTGGAAAACAAAACTAGCAAAACAAATGTTATGTCTGTTTTAGTTGGAACCTGGAGGCTTCTGGAGCCGCACAAAGCTCTAAAATCACCTCACTACAAGATACCTTGTCTAAATTGCCAAAACAACTGAAAAAGTGAGGGAGAACAAAATGGCTTCTGAAACCTCATGTTCCCCTCCCCCTTCTTCTTTGTCTCAGGCACCATATTGTCTTCCCAGACTCCTTTGTCTCAGACTCTGCCCCAGCAGCCATCTTGTGCCCAGGCTATGCCCCTAATGCCATCTTCCTCTCTTCCCCTTTGTGAAAACCTGCCTCTTTAAAATTAGACCCTCTAAGATGCAGGGATGCTTCAACATCCACAAACCAATCAATGTGATATACCACATTAACAAAATGAAGAATAAAAATCACATGATCATCTAACAAGATGCAGAGAAAGCTTTTGACAAGATATAGCATCTATTTATGATAAAAACTCTGACTAAAATGGGTATAGAAGGAAAGTACCTCAATATAATAAAGGCTATATATGACAAACCCACAGCTAACATTATACTCAATGGTAAAAAACTGAAAGCTATCTCTTTAAGAACAGGAACCAGACAAGGATGCCCACTGTCACCACTCTTATTTAACATAGTATTGGAAGTCCTAGCCAGAGCAATCAGGCAAGAAAAAGAAATAAAAGGGACATACATTGGAAAGGAAGAAGTGAAACTGTCACTATTTGCAGATAACATGATTTTATATATAGAAAACCCTAAGGAATCTACCTGAAAACTATTAGAAATAATAAATGAATACAGTAAAGTTGCAGGATACAAAAGCAACATACAAAAATCAGTTGCGTTTCTGTACACTAACAACAAAATAGCAGAAAGAGAAATTAAGAATACAGTCTCATTTACAATCACAATAAAAAGAATAAAATACCTAGGAATAAATTTAACCAAAAAGGTGAAAGACCTATACATTGGAAACTATAAAACATTGTTGAAAGAAATCGAAGAAGAC